CTATTTATTTGACTTTTTTTCTTTCTTTTTTGACAAGCTCTTTAGCCTCCTTGATTTATTGACATGCTGAGTTAATTCATTGTTTGAATTTGAGAGAGATCGAGGGGTGTGCTGGGGTGGATTTTTCAGCTGTTGGGTAGCACCAGTGTTTGCAACTGGAAGTCTAATTAGGGGATGGGAAGAGCTGCTTGCATAGTTATTTTTGCATGTATTTTAATGGAAATAAGGAAATACAGCAAGTCAGTGGTTAACGTTTATAAGTCTGCATATAGATAAACTTACTGCAACTGTTAGACTCTTCCATAAGAGTTCCATGTCTTTATGTTCTTTTCCCTTCCTCTGCATCTCTACTCCTTTAAACAATTAGAAAAAAATCTGCATCCGAAAGTTTTAGGAAAAGTTTGTCAAGTGAGGCTGTCTGTAACCATCTGCAGCGCTCTTGGCCATCGAACACCAGCAAAACTGCCCCAAACAATTGGCATGGCATTCCCTAATGAATGAGCACCACCAGGGAAATGAAGCCTCAGTTTGCTTGCCTGTTGTTCTGCCCAGCAGGAGAAATCCCCTGTATGCCACTTCTGATCACTTTTTTGAGTCAGTAAAATGCTCCTTGGCACATAGTTTCCTAAACTTTATGGGGAGGATTTTCCGATGACATGACATGTAAAAGATGGTGTCTTGCATGTGTTTTTCCTTTCTCCCTTTCCTCGCTGACTGCTGGGTCACCGTTGTCTGGTTGAACATACACAGCGTGTGCACTATGTGCATTCACACTTCCTTGGCAAAGGCACCTCGTACAGAAAGCTCACTCCATAAATAACTTGGGCCGTGCGTTTATTCTGCTCTGAAATGCTGTAAAAAATAAAAGGCTACCTATCAAAGTTGTTTGTCTAATAATGGAGGAAGGGGACGATATTGTAAACACTGTCCAAATGAATTGTAGTAACCAGAATAAATGGTGGTTGCTGTTACTGAGCGCTGAGACTGAGCCGAGGCCTTTCCAAATGCATCACATGTGACTTTAATCCATTCCAGAGCCTAGGTCTCTTCCAGGCTTGGAAATTTGATGCTCCGAGGTGCTAAGCCCCCTCTATTGCTATAGAAATCAATAGGGCAGCAGCCTGCTCAGCACCCCGCAAAGGCGATCAATCTGTTGCAGGCCCAGTCCTCCAGGCCTGATCCTGCACAGCATTTCTGTCTACACTTAATTTTAGACAGGGATATACCGCCGTTTGCAGAAGGACCACTCGCTTTAAGTTAACGTGCACATAGGGTTTACAGCACCGGGGTCTTGGTCTGCATTTGGGTTTTGTTTCAATGCCTCAGCTTGCTAGCGTGCCTTCCTTGTAGCAGTCTGCTTGAATAAGGCCACATTTCTCTTTTTAAAATCAGCAGTTTATCTCCTTTTGGTGGACAAATATTCTTGGCACTGAACTTGTTAATAATAAGCTGGAACAGGGGCTTAAAGGAATGTGTTTACACTGTATGAATGAGACCGTATAGGATATATCCAGCAAAACACCATTTTATGTGAAAGTTTAAACCAGCAGGTGCTGATGCTCATGCAGTGTCCCCTCAGCAAGAAAAATGTTAATTCATGAAAGAAACAGTAAGGTGGGGAAGGGGTGGAGGGAAAAACAAAAACCAAAACCCACGTTCTGAGCCATCAATATTTGCCACCTGAGAGGGGATAAATCCGGCTTCAAACAACCCTTCAGACACCGCCATGTAATGGTCAGAAAAGGCACTCTTTGAGGTGACATTCAAACCTCTGATAGCAGGCAGGCAGTTCTGACAAGAATTATTTTCTCTCCTCTCAGGCCAGTGACTTTTCTGCTCGCCTACCTGTCCGCCACAGCCTGGCCGGAGCAGTAACTGAACCCAGCTTGTCGGTGGGGTGGGGGCCAAGGCCTCCGGGCCTCCCCAGCCCGTCTGTAATTATATGGCCGGCAGAGGAGTTCCTCAGGTTGCACATTAGGCCCTTGCTGAGATCAGTAATTATAATATCAGTTTTCTCCAAATAGGTCTGACAGAATGGCATTGGTAGCAGAGGTGACTCAAAGTTTAGTAAGTCTTAGGGAAAGTTTACTGTCTCCTGCTGCTTTCTGTCCCACAAATTTGGCTTCTCTAATAACCAGCACTGGCCACAAACAGTAGGAATCCTTTTCAATCACTATTAGCAACACTTCATTTCTGTCATATTTGACCCCTGGCAAGCTGCAGCCCAGCAAAGAGCATTCCCTGCAGAAAGTAACCAGACGTCCAGGATTTACTCTGTGACAAATGACGTTGTTAAGGGCCCTTAAAAAACACTAAAACAAATTCACAGCAGGACTCTGGAAAGCCCTTTACCAACCTCCGAAGGATGCAAGGTATAGGATAGCCTGTATACAGTAGCACCCCATCTTTACCTGTTCCCTGTGTGACTTCATGTTTGCTGGAGCCTCCAGCAGGAAACTGCTCCTCCCCTTCAGTTTCTTAAAAGTCTGGCGATGTTATTTGTGTTTTATACTGGGAAGTTTCCTAACACAGTGACACCCTTCTCTCACCTAGACGTTTTCATTTGCAGCTCTTTCTGAGTAGTTCAGCAACTCTGTGAAAAAGTGAGATACAAGGAGGTTATTACAGCCACCAAGGCCACGTCTAGTCAATGCCTTAATTTTAAAAAGTAAAATATCTAAGTTCATCAGGAAACTTTTGTTTTGTATTTTTAATTCTGTTGTGCACAACACTTTTTTTGGAGGGCTTTTTTTTTGGCATACTTAGTTTCTTGCAGAGCCAGTTGTGCATTTGAGGGGACATTGCAGACACCAGCATCCACGTAATCCACTGTTGTAAGGGTCTAAAACAGGTGCAGCATGACCCTGGGCAAGGCAAGCAGCAGCAGAAATGCTGCTGGAAGATTGGAGCATGATAAATAGGAGATGCACAGACTGCTCTTCTTCAGACACATCCAGCTCAGTAGTTCTGAGATAGATCCAGGTTGCTCAGTGGGAGCTGTGGTCTGTTAAGTGTAATGAATACATTAAAAAAAAAATCAAAAAAAAAAAAACAGGAGAAGATGTAGCAAGACAGAAAAGCAAGGGCTTTTGATGCCACAGCCTCTTACATACTCCTCCCAGCTGTTCTTTCCTTATTTCATTTCCTCACCTTGTGATTTACGGGGGGGCGGGGGGGAGCAACAAAAACCTATCTTGGCTGATGGTTTAAGGCCGTTCAGAAACAGTGGTCAGCAGGGTCACCCTGAGTCCTCGTGCATTGCCTGTTCTCCTTCCCACCCGCGTCACCGTGTAGGCCAGCCACGAGCTCGGGGCAGAAAGCTGCCTAGGTGCGGCAGGCACTGCCCTGACCGGGTGAACGGCATTGTTTGCCCTTCCGTGGTATTTTTCCGCTATGCTCACAGTTGACATTTGAACATATTTTGGAGGGCGTGTTGCAGCCACACCTAAGCCTGTGCCTCAGGCCTGTTGTCTCTCTGACCTAGCAGCCTTCTTGGGAGCCAAGCTGAGGGCTGTCCTCTCTGTGCACGTCCAGTACATCCTTATTTTAGGGATCTGTGCAGTGCTTCACTTGGTTTCAGGATTCCCTGAAGAGGTACATTGCTTTTAGGTCAAGAGCAAAACAGCCTATTTCAAACAGACCTACATGCTTTCCTTGTACAGTGCCCACACACTCCTACTTTTGCATGAAAAATGAGAGTTTTGCTGTAGTTTCTGTCTTCTGTCCAGTTTATGTCTTCCTTGGCAAACCAGATGTTGGCACGTGCAGCTTCCAGAAGGCCTGGTCAGCTTGCACAAGAACAGAAAACAGGCTGGACGCACTCAGAATTAGCACAGACTGACTTGAGAGCTAGCTACTGTCTCAGCTGGGCAATGGTGTTTGCCAGAGAATGGGATTAGGTGAGCAAGTATCTGTGGGATGCCAGAGTTGTATTTCTTGGTCATCAGTGCAATAAGTATATGTTAAAGGGTGACACAAAATTATTACTGTTGTATTTGGGCACTTGCAATAAATACATAGAAGGAAGAGGGTAGGAGAGGAAAAAAAATCTGTCAAGAATTGCTGCACATCTGTGTGTATTTTGGGGCCTGAAATTGAACATTCTCTGGAGTCTTTGATCCACAGCTTGGTATTTTGCTGAAGAAGGCTAAGCTAGACTGATCAAAAAAGAGCAGTGTGAAGAGGGACCAATTACTACTTGCATTGTGCCATGTGAGATTGTCTTCTAGACCTTGATATGCTCTTAATATACCACAAATAGCCTAAGAAGGTCCAGTTCTGTTGCTGGGAATGTATGTACTGGACTGAAAGTATTTTGCAGCCATCAAGATCTCCTTTAAAAATATCTTTACAATTTTGTTTCATCTTCTCCATTAATGCCCCCTGCCAAGGCTCATAGAGTGAGTAAACAGAGTGCAACAGAGCTGAAATCCTAGGAGATGCTGATGGAGTGCATGGTTTGTACTGGGGTGGATCAGTCAAGAGGGCCTTGAGCAAAAAACTCACGTAGGCCTTGCTGTTCAACTCAGACAGAAATCGGGCATCAGGGAAGAAGTGTGTAACCTGCTACTTTCCACCTCAGAGGCTGTAGGTTGACAGACGTTTTTACACACCCGAAGTTGTGCTGTAGGGCTGCCATCTCGGCCTGGCTACCATCCTCCTGGCCCAAGTAACCCCTTGGGTTACCCCTCATATCTTGCCAGGTTGGTTTTCAGCCAGCCCAGGTTCCTGAGCCATACAGCTGTATATACTCGCTGGCTGGGGCTAGGGAGGGCAGACCCACAAGCAGCCCCCCTCTGGAGGCACATCCATACGTGCAGGTGGAACCACCAGGGGACCCCAAAGGTCCTCAGCGTGGTCACTGTTGCAAAGCACATGGGATGCCTGCTCTTTCAGTGTGTGAAAAGTCCACTCCCAGGAAAGACAGGTTTTACTTAATTCTTTCTGATTTTTTCTCCTCCTTAATGGCCTTAATTGATTTCCTTTCCCTGTGGCTGCAGGCCCGGATTACCAACTTTCCTCAGAGCCTGAAGGTACAGGACACTTCTGAAGTCTCGAGGCAATGTAATTAATCAGCTATATGGAGAGATGGAGTCCAGTTAAACTATCAGCCACTACTGGCGATCTGCAGTGGAGCCATGCTGATCCTGCGGTACGTGAGGCAGAACTCCCTGTATGAGCCATTAAAAGAAGTCAGATCCTGCTGAGGAGGAGAGGTAGGTCTTGTGCTTAATGCACCAAACTGGGATTCACGAGGCAGAAGCCAAATTCCCGCTTCCCTGCCTCAGCCTTGCTGCCTGCCCTTAGGGTTGCCACTTACTATCTGTGCCTTAATTGCAAAGTTTCTGCGTGCCTGTGTTGCTGTACAAAGCTGTTTTTTCTTAAAGAAGCAAGACGTTTGTCACAACGGAGCCCTGTGATCAATATAAAGTATCACAGTTAAAACAGAAAGTGGGATATTTGCTGGAATTAAGACTGTTTCTTGGGCTGACCCACAATGCACACGTTGTGGGGGCTTGTTGACTTGCTGCTGTGCTAATGCCCATTCACACGGCTCGTTTCTTTTTTGCATTGCTCAGTTTATGTGAAAATCTACGTCTTTACATTTCCAGTAAAAGTCTGGATCTGGACTAAGTTAACATAAAGCTTGGTGGAGAAACAAGGGGACAGGCTAGCGTTAAAAGGAAGGGAGCAGAGGTGACTCAAAGTTTAGAGAGCCTTAGAGAAGTTTACTGTCTCCCGTTGCTCTCTGTTCGACAGAGTTGGCCCATCTAAAACCAACACTGGCCAGCAGCAGTGGGAATCCTTTTCAATCACCATTAGCAACACTTTTATTTCCATCATACTTGACCACAGCAGGCTGCATCCCAGTGAAGAGCATTCCTTTCAGAAAGCCAGCAGACATTCAAGTGCAGCGGATTTACTGTGTGAAAATGGCATTTTTAGGGGCTTCTGAAAATGTTTAAATGAATGCTCTTTTTTTTTATTCTTTCTCACAGCTTGATTCTCAGCTTAGAAAGCCCTTCTTGCTAAACAATTTTAGAGTCTCCTACAGGAGTTTAAAAGTTAGGTTAGTGTTCAAAATATAAATGTCTCTTGCTACCGTGGAACTACTCATTTCTTAAGGCATGTATATTGGGAGAACTAGTGTTTTCAGCTATTTTATTCAGTGTGAATGAATTAGGATTACTGATGCATATTTTGGAGTTGACAAAAGAATTCTGCACAGTCTTTAAGTTTTTATGAAACTGTGCAGTAATGTTCGTGAGGTTTTCCTGCTCAGACTAGCAAGACAGCCTTCCATAATACAGCCCCATTCAAGTTGAAAAGAGCCAAGAAGAAAAATTTCCCCTGGTTTGGCCCTATTCCTAAAACTTTCCGTATCTCCTTAATCAGGAGACTGCTTTCAGGTCAGGGGGAGGGAGCGACTGAAGGGACTTAAACTCAACACTTATTTGTTGGAGAGGACAAATAGAACTAAGGTCAGTCTCCACTGCAAATCTTAGTTAAAGCACAATTGCAAGGAGCTGGTTAAATCCAAGTCACAGTGTGGTGGAGTGGTAGGACTTCCCTTCGCTCCCCAGACCAGATTAAAGTGGCTCTGGGTTTGGTTCTTTCCCTGCACAGAAACGCCTGGGCTCTCGCCAGTTCTGCCTGGAATCAAAGGGAATCTCTTTTCTGCAGTGAATTATGTGACGGGCAATTATGTGCAAATAACTATAAAAGTATGGGTTTTGTCAAGTTCCCGTAAAGTCCCTGTTTATATTCACAAACTTTTACTGTCTTCTTTCCTGAGGCTGGAGATTTCAGGAGCAGCTTGTGAACTTTGTTCCCCTCATATTTATTTTTTTTCTTATCCTGGTTTTGGGGGTATCACTGAACCGCCGGCTGCTCCTGTGAGGGAATTTCCATGTGCTGATTCCACGTGCCTCTCCCTACATAAACTGCAGTTGTGGCCCAGGTTAATCCCACCTCACTGCATCAATAGCCCAGTCAACAAAGACAATCTCTTAGGGTTTTCAGAGAGAAATAAGCATATTTAGACAGCGTGTGGGTCAACTATGGGATGAATAATCTGCTGAAGAGCTGGTAGTCCCTTGTTAATTACAGAGCCTTGGTGATTGAGACCCCAGCCAAGAGGCCTCTGGTGAAATCAGATGAATTCCACCAGTGAAATCAGATGAATCCAGGCACGTGGTACTCCTGCCTGAAGCCCTCCTGAGCATGAACAACAGTGGGTACAAATTCAGTTTGGGTCAGTGTGAAAGCATAATGCAAAATGCAACACAAAAACCCTGTGCAGGGGAACAGTTTGACATCCTTCTGTTGTTCTCAGGAAATTAGTGCAGCATCGCTTTGGGAGTCAAACACGTAATTTGAATGTTGGGCCTTCTAATTGATCCCAGTCTTGACAAAGACAGACTTGATGTTACATACTATGTGATCACTGGCACAGCAGGGGCAACTAGACAGAGAGAATTGAGTGGTGTGTTCATGAAAGAGCTAATAGAAATCAAAGATAAAATGTTGCCTCCTTGAAATTATGCTCCCCCACACATGTGGTCTGTTCTTTCTTATATGAAGAATATAGGGAGTATTTAATGAACTGGGTCTTAAGTGAGTATAGCATGTTGCCCACTGCAACCTGTGTGGTCTCCATTAAATGCAATACTGTATTTTTGATGGGCAAGCAAATTGGTTTCTTTTTTTGTTGTTTGTTTGTTTTGTTTTGTTTTGCTGACATTAGCCAGGAGCTTACATTTTCCATTTCCTACAGTAAATTGTGCTTGTCCAGTTTTGAAGAGTACAGAGTAAAGGTGTATAAATGTGTATGTCGAGGGTGGCAATGTAGAAGATGGAGTTCAATAGTGCAGTTTCTGTTGGTTTTAATCTAGATTGAGGTGAATATTTACCTGTCAGGTGCTTTCTCCCCAGAAATCACTGCCCTACTAACATTTCTCATGCCCTTGTGCACTCTTTAATTATTAGTATAAAATATTATTAGTAGAAATATTAATAAACATGTACAAAGGTATTTGTATTGAAACACTGCATTTAAGTGACTGACTCATTCAAGTGCTCTACAGGCGGTAAGTTAGAGCTTTATTATAGGTTGACCAATTCTGACTTAAGGTGAGATGCGGTCAGTAAACATGGGTTCGTCCTGTTTTTCCCAAGTAGAAAACATTCTTGTTTTGAAGGTGTTATCTGGTGTAATCTCTGTTATTAGAATTAAGGTGGGAAAGTGTTACTGTGAGTGTGCCTGCTGTTTTGGCAACAAAATCAGTAGTCACTGGGTACTGGGATGGCTTGAAAGTGCAGCCAATGCAATGTTCGCAGTGATCAAACTGGAGCTCTTGCTGCTGTGTCGGTTGCCAAAGATACATAGTTAGAGCCTTCATTCAGGGAGAATGAGGAAAATTCATAGTCCCATGACATTAAATAAAAAGAACAGCCAAAACCCTTATTATAGATTTCCTATTTTCCATTTCTTTGTATGTGATTTCCTTCTCCTTTACATCTCTCTGTGTCGGAAAGGTTCTTGTTTAAAAGGCTTTGTAGATATTGGGAACAAAAGCAACTGAACTTGAAGTCTGATCCAGCCAAGCAGCTCCTCCTGCCATGTACAGCTGTTCTTTCCTTTCGAACCCTCCAAAACCCTCTGAGCTAAATGCTTCATTTAAAAAAAAAAAAAAAAAAAAAAAAGGAAAGAAAAAAAAAGGAATCATCAATCATAACCCTTCTGGTAAGGAGAAGAGGATTCTTCTGTACAATAAATAGAAAATTTCCTTGCATTCGTTTCAACACAGTGTCTGTTATTCTTCCTGTAGTAACTGTTCTTTCTGTGCACCTACCTACCCCCCTTTCTGTGTGTTTCTTCTTCTCCATCCTCTCTCAAAACATGCTGTCTGCTCCGTCTTCCCAGTTGTATCACATTCCCTGACTTTTATCCTTTCCATCTTGTTTCCATGGGCCTGGTCTGGTACCACTGAAATTAATGGACATTTTGGCAATTTCTTTGTCTATAACAAAGCCGGATGCTGTCTAAGTGCTGCTGCACTTGGACCAGTAGTAAGTGTATCAGGTTCCCTATGAAACTCCATCACACTGGTGCTCAACAGGAAAATCAGTGCTGCTTTTGTCAGGCTAGCCAGGATGTACATCATTACTAAAGAAGCAGTCAGGCCGTATGGAAAATTAAATCAAACTCTAAGATCCCAAGATGAATTGGAGATTGGCTTCCTCCCAGTTCTGTTCCCGAGGCTGAGATCTTTAGCAGACATGCTGGAGGAGGGAAAAGATGGAGCAGGAGAAAGGGAAGTTTTAAATGCCCTGAGGCAAAAGCTTAGCCATCCTTCTCGGCAGCAGTTTCCAGCTCTCTGAAAACCTTACTCTCAGCTACTGAATAAGTGCTCACTGTTTCAATTTCTATATTTTTTTCCTTCTCTCCCTAAAATATAACTATCAGTCTTTACAATAGGGTAGTCTGGCTTTTGGAACAGTCAAAGCTTAAAAAGCTGTTAAAGAAACTTTACAATAAAATATAAAGAGTATGTCACCTGCCTGCTGTCCCCACTGGAGAGCCGTGTTAGAAAATCTCTTCCTGAACTGATGGCTCAAGCTTTCTTTTTAGTTAAAATAAGATTGTCTGCATAAACCAGGCAAGGGAAGAAAGAAAGGGTCTTGAAGAAAGAAAGAGAGATTGAGAGAGGAAGAATCACAAATGAGTGATTGGAAAAATGTCTATTCTTTGTCCTGTAAGCACTTTAGTGACGCATTAGAAAGCTGGTAACCCTAAGCTTCCTCTTGTCAGTGAAAAACAGGAGGTATCTCCGAAGCATAATTCTGCTCAGCTAAAACCTGAGTCAGCCTGCCAATGTACTTTCTGTCTGTGTGGATGATAAAGGAAAAAAATAGCAACTCACTTTCTACGTTTGGTTTCTCAAGCAAATGCTTAAATGTGAAAAGGGTGAAATTGGTCCTTTGTGTATACGGAAGGGATACAGTACAGGCAGATCTGCAGGGATGCCAGCGAGAAACCTGGGACACAGAGCAAGAACCAGCATGTGAATGAGCCTGTATGTCTGAGGCAAAGGGAAGAGACAAACAAATCATGTCCAAGAGTAGGTGGCATCAAGTGATGGGCACTTGTGACAAAGATGGAGCAAATGTGGCTAAAATGTCCCTGTGTTTGCAGCCGTGTTTGGTGCCCAGT